GAAGTAACGTGTGAAGTATATATGATTTATAAAAGCACGCCCTCAAAGTTTCCAAATGATCACTTTACCGATATAGCGTTACCGAGTGCCCTGGAAACTTGAGCAATCCTATCCTGTAACTCTCACTTCCCCTAACCTTTTTTTTTTTAATTTTCACTCCTCTCTCTCTCACACACAAGCTTCGCCGTGCTCCCTCACGATGACAGACAGTTATCGCGCACTCTTCCCCCATTTCCCTACCTTTTCCCTCCAACATTCTGTCGTTTTTAAAGACGATAGTCTTTCTAGGAGACCTACGACGCAAAAAAAAAAAAAAAATGGTTTGTCTGTCGATTTGTCTCTTGTCCACCTTTAACGGTATCGGGTACTCTGAACGGCACCAGCCGATATCCCAAACGGCCGACCCCATCCGCAGCGCCCACTAATGTTGCTCAAGGTTCAGCGTTCATACTTGTGCGATTGTCTATTAAAAAGCAATTATTACGCATATCTGAGGCACCATAGCAACACGCATATATTCTGTAAGTGCGGCTTTTCTAGAAAAGGCATACATAAGCGATTCTAAAAACCGCAGCGTTTATCACGCTGCGCTAACCGTGCAACGCTTGCACGAAAATACGAGTGTTTCCAACGCTTTGCTAAGACGACAGGGTGGTGGCACCTACCCGTCGCCTTGCGTTCTACACCTTATCCTGTATATCATCCTTCTCATTATCCTTCTACACCTCTGAGCCGGGCGCGCACGCCCGTCTCAGAGCCGCACGCTTCGTTTTTCAAGATAACTGCCAGATAGCGCTCACGTCTGACGGGTGACGTGACTTGATGCGCTCGTTCGCCTCCGCTGCACGCTTGAGGCACTCTAACGCAGCGCCTCCGGAATACCATTCACCGATTTTCTTGAGCAGAACATCAAATAAACGTTTTGTTCACTCTCTCCACACGCAATACTATCGTCTTTCGACGACATTTGCAGTGTAACATGCAGATACGGGGGCCAATTCCCCCGCCCCCCCCCCTTTTTTTTATGGAATAAAGAATCGTTATCCCTCATGGCCTGAAGAAATAATCACGTTTTCATCAAAACTACATAGTGCAATCACACGAGAGCAAGAAAACCGCTTGCCTTTCAAACAGTTATATCGAGACTGTGATCGAGAATGGTACCCTAAGCGTGTCCGAGCATTCAATGGCTGTGGATCCGGATTCCACTGATGAAAAGAGTGCACTTCTTTTTCGTTTTAGGTGCGAAACTCCTTAGGTCATACGCTCCTCTGTTGTCGTAGTAGTAGTATGTAGCCACCAGTAGTTTATGAGTTGTTCAAGAGATGGCGTTGTGTGTATACATCCTCAGGATAACTAGATGACGTTAGTAGTTTTCACAGCATTTCCACGGAGTGAATGAGTGGGGCGAAGCGTTCATCCTTCTATTCATGTGTCCAACCGTCGGAGCGTTCATTCGTTCCCCCGTTCGTCTATCCGTCCGTGCTTCTGTCTGTACATCCGTCAGTCCGGACGGACGCTTCACCCCACTCATCATCACTTTCTTCGTGGATATACCGTGATTTTTTTTTTCAATTTAGGATATAATTACTGCGCTACAGTTAATAAACAACGAATAATGTTCCCTATGCTTTCCTTGATCTAATTGATCGCTAAGGGGACATTGCAACAGAAGGCGACAAAAGCTCTGTTGAAATTCCTACGCAGCACGGACTTGAACAAGCGGCTGTAACAGCAATGTCACACACCGCGAAAGACAAAACTGCAGGACTATGACTGGGGGGGGGGGGGGGGAAGTGGTTCTTAAAATTGGAAAAGAAAAGTGAACCCCGCAACTGTCTGCAGCTAAGTGCGACACCTCAGCAGTGGTTCACATGGGAAGGGGAATGGGGGATAATAGACTTGAGCGAAGAGAGGAAAGAGAAAGGAGAGAGCGTCCTTCAGGCGACACGGCGCAGTGCCTTATAGGGCTGGGGAAGGAGGGATAAAAAGAATAGAAGGAAAATAGACGGAGAAGAAGACAGCCAACGAGAGGAAAAAGAAGGAGATAGAAAGATTGAGCACGGTCACTGGAGTCCGAGGACGGGGCGCACCTGCGAGAGCTCCTTTCGGCGTCGGTGGATGGCGTAGAACAAGTCCAGTAAATCAGAGCTGCACTGTCGTCGGAGGTGGAAGGTCGTCGGCGGCAGGAGATGACGTAGGGCGAGTCCAGTCTGCCAGAGCCACGCTGACGCGGGAGATCGCAAGCGCGCGGAGCGCGCGAGCGCACGACCGGTCAGCTCGAAATCCAGCAAGCGAGTCCTATGACTGAGCGTGCGCGCGTGTGCTGCCGAATGTGCTGTGTTTATACATCTCCCCTCTCTGCTGGCTATTTTTCATCTCCCCCCTCCCATGCACAGGGTAGCAAACCGGCTGCCTATAGGCTGGTTTACCTCCCTGCCGTTCTTTTCCTCCTATTTTCCTTCCTTCGTTCCTTTGATCGCTATTATTTTCTTTCATCCGAACACGGAGGCAGCCGTATTCTGAGACTATCCCTCTCGGCCGCACTGTCACTTTGCGCGACACCTCGCTTATCCAATGACCGAAGCCACGATTCGCCCGCATTCCCTGAAAGGGGCATTTCCAAAAAGTGATCATCTCAAAATACAGCCCAAGCTCGATGCGGCCGCCAATTTCCGTGAACGCAGTTGTGTGAAGCTTAAGCAGCGCACTTGGACACTATCCATTGGTGCTGTAGTAGCGGTTTGGTGGGAAGACTATATATGCAAAACTTTTTAGAGTAAGCGGCATGCTAAGTCTGTGAAATCGCCTGGCCAACGAAGGTGGGACTCTTTGGTTCCTGCAAAATCAGCTCACGCTGCCAAAAAAAGCGACGCTATTGCTCGGCCAACCGCAGTGTACAGCCGACGTTTTTTTTTTTTTTTTCCGAGGAGGAGAAAGGGGGCGAGCGTACGAGCCTCCTTTATCGCATGTTTGTGCGTGTGTCGCATACATAAACTCATATGAAATGAAAAAAAAAATCAGGGGGGAAGGGGTACTGAACTTTGAAACCACTTTCCGCGCTACGCCACTGCACAGCGGCAGCCTCGCGAGATGGCTTGGTTTATCGCCGCAGGCACACACTCAATTCATGCGGATCTCACAAAGGCGCTTTCGATCGGGATCGAATATAGCGCCTGCTATTGGTCCCCTTCGTCATTCAATTGAGCTGATAGCGATGAACTAAACTGGATCCGGATAGGACTTGGAAGTGCACCGCATGACACCCCGTATTGCTTCACAACTGAGTACCGCGCGGATACGACATCACAACGAACAAAACATGTCACGATCGACACACTCAAATAAGTTTTACGTGAGGCTGAAGAAACACGACGTTAACTGGGTTAACACTTCAATTGATCCTCGGGTGAAGAAGAATTTCGGGGTTGAAGGTTCGACTAATCGGCGACCGATCGGTAAAAGGCGATCCTCCCACTTCCTCCTTGCCCAGGAGAAACTGACCCGGTTTGGCGAGCGTCCTCTTTTGCATCTCTGGACACGTTTCCCGGCCCCGCTTTAAACGTGACGTTTCCACAACGCCACAAATGAATACAAAACACACTTCGACAAGAGCAGTAGAAGGCGGAGTTTCGAACAGCGATTGCTGCCAACCACTCCCGCGCCTGCGGCCTGCTTTGGGCGTTCGCAAAAAATGTAAACCTCAACACCAATGAAAACCGACAGAGATGAAAAAAAAAAATGATAAATCACATGTCAGGGTCTTACAAACCCGAAGGCAGTCAGTTTGTTTTCGCCAAACAACGCGCGCAAACTTAACCGTGCTTCCTCGAATAAAAACGCAGCGCTCCGCTACAACGCGATCGTTTCGTAAGCTGGTAGTACGCAATCAACCAAACACACATGCCTCGGCAAGTCCGGTGAAAAAAGTAAATAGCGCGGGCTATAAGATCACGCCCTACTTGTCCCACTTTTAGCGTAGCTCGGGGACATCTGCGATCACGGTGACCCGCGCGATGCAAGCAAACAGAACGTAAGCACGGACGGTTTGTGTTTCCAAACGCCTTCTTTTCCTTCTTCGCGCCGTAATAAAGAGGTCAGGGAAGAAACGTCGAATAAAGGAACGGTACCGTAGCCGGCGGCGGCTCTTGCGTCACCGCCCGAGCAAGAAGTTCCGCTGCTTCGCGCACGTCTTTTGTTTACGCGAAGGCGAAACATTTCGCCAGCGGGGCTCGGCGAGGTTCGCGAGTGTGTTACGAGTGTTCGCAACTGCGATAACGTAATTTCCCCGCTCACAATACCTGAAGCAGAACGCTGTTGCGGCAGATGTGCGAGCTGCGAAACGGCGCGCACAGGCATTACGAGCGATGATGCCGGAGCCTGTCGCAATACCAGTTTTCTCCTTTTTTAACTCGCACAGCCTGCCAACGGAGGGGACGCGCACTCGAATCGGCCAAACAAGATCAAACGGGAAGGAGGGGGGGGGGGGGGGGGACGGACGCTGCGATGGCCGTTGCTTCACGGCATAGCGAAAAATACTTCCCGATATCGCGCGCGAATCCGAACGCAGGGTCGCAAATGCGCGAGGCACGCGACGGCTAACATGTCACCTGCTCGAACGTAAACACGGCTGTGTGCATTCTGCGACGCCGCTGGCCTGTCAACGGCGAGGATGGTCAAGGCAAGGCCAGTGTACGTGCGGCCCAGGAAGAAGCCGCGTCACCGTCTCATGAAGATCGCGCCCGAATGCGATCGGCCGCGACGGACCACCTGACATCGCCAAGACGGAAAGCCCGCCACGGGCGATTCCGCGCATACGCTGCCATGACGGCCGCCGCAATCTTGGCCCAAACACACGAGCAACGCCAAGTCCAGCCCCCCTCGACTCCTCCGTACCAAGCAACCCCCCCTCTTTCCGCACCCCCTTTGTCCGTTCATAGCCAACACACACGCACTCCAAAGGCAGGGCGCGAAAACTACAAAACGTCAAGCGCGCTTACCTTTGTCGCAGGAACTGGACGACGCTACCGTTAGCAGACAACACAGCAACGTGATTCTCGACGCCATAAATCCATCCACTGCGGATACTCCATAAAATCAGCCACACGGTTAAATCCCTCGGCCCGACCTGATACACACGCGCGCATACGAATACACGCGCACACAGCGAGTCGTGGTGCGGCCGTGCCGTGCAGCCGCTCTTCCACAACGGCTGTTCCGTTCGCAGCGCTCACTCCCCCCCGCGTGTTTGACGTTGCTCGCCAGCGTTTGCGCGCTTTTTCTTTCACCGCGTGGGCGTGACTTGATTGCTGCACGTGAAAACAAATCAAGCACCATTCATTGTGCCGCTTTATATTGATGCTGTTTAGAGCGTAACTTCAAAGTTGAATGATGGCATGCGCGGAATTTTGAGGGGTTACCGACGCCAGGCGCAAAAGCGCGGAAAGCAGAACGAACTGACTGAGGAGAGCTTGAGATCGGCTGCAGTTCAATAGTGGTTCGTACAGCCTGATCGCAGCGTTCATTTTGATTTCAGTGAGGCGATCCGGATTCTAGAGGCACTAGGGCGCACTACAGGGCAATAATTGCGCAGTTCTAGGAAATCGGGTCGAAGCTTACGGATGCGGAACACGCATCGCATTCCCAGCGCGCTGTCCCATTTGACGCATCGTTGTTTGACAAAAGGATCACGCTCACTGGGAGACTCGCTATAGGTCCTTCCGCTACGACTTCATTATTCTGTTTTGCGGCCCTCTAGCCCCAGTGATTGGCCAGCGCTTCCTACATCTTCAATTCGCTCTGAGAATTGATTAATGCGGCGGCCCGCATGTTCAAGGGAAAAGAAGATGTAAACAACAAAAAGCGCGCTAACAGAACGCAAGGCCAGCTGCTTAACTTTGCGCAAGCGTCGCTGATTCCTCTAAATCTGTAACACTTAACGAGTTCGTACTGTCTACATCATTTTGCTTCCGTTCGAGTCCGAGGCAGAACACGGAAGAAATGAAGCGTTATACAGATAAAGTTGCGATGTCGAACACCGAAGCCATTCATCGCGCAAACGACACTAAACCAGCAGACGCGACTGAACCAGAGAAAACCTACAACTGAACTTGTTCACGTACACTTTGCAACGGACGCCTAATGTAATTTATTAAAAAAAGAGAGAGAAATAGTGGTGATAAGATAAAGAACGCAACAAAACAATGTTGAAAAACAATGAATGAATTGTGGTCCTGCCCTTTGTAACGGGTAGGCAGCTCTCAACTGCCTTAACCAGAAAAAAAAAAATAAGAGGAAAGAAAGAAAAGAAGGGAGACGTAGAGAAAGATACAGATAAAAACAAAACATGACACACACACACACACACAAAACGAGTTATCACGTTTGCAACAGCCAGACACAAAACAATGTTGTATGCTGCCATCTGACGTTACAAATGTAACATACACAACAACAAGTGAAGCCTTCGAGATTGCCATGGTGCATTTTTTTATACATCTTGGAGGCTCAACACTGCAAATGTTCAGTTTAAATGCGTTACATAAACGTTTTAGTCACATTTAAACTGGATACATTGTTAACTAAAATTATTGTTAACTTTTGGTATTGCTCAATTGTTTTTAAGACAATTTTTTCATGAATAACTAGTAGGAAGCCAATCCGTAGCCTACTTGAAGTTAGTGTGGTTTGACCGAGTGTGCGTGTCGGCGTCGCCTTTGTCGTTGTCGTCAGGTGCACTCGAATAAGGTTAGTACACGTTTTACTGGTGCGTTCTGTAGATTCGTAGAAATTAAAGTCGTGCTCGTCGTTACTAGCCTAGTAAACTTGTGACGCATACTCGTTTTTTGAGCGCTGCTAATGTTCGCCCCTATGCCTAGCGGCTCGCCGGCCGGCGAATGGCGGTCGCCCTTCTCCGTTCGATCATACATCCGCGCACTTGCATGTGTGCCGTTCTCTTTAATCATATGCGGCGCGCTAAAGCTCCAATGCTCGGAGACTGTAGAAGTGCGTATCATTTCTCGGTTTCGAAAGGGGCTTGCAACTCATAGGTTTTGAACATGAGCGTTTGAAAGTTTTAGCGTGTGATGTTACTTGTGGCTTGATTGATTTGTGTGGTTTAACGTCCCAAAACCACCATATGATTATGAGAGACGCCGTAGTGGAGGGCTCCGGAAATTTCGACCACCTGGGGTTCTTTAACGTGCACCCGAATCTGAGCACACGGACCTACAACATTGCCGCCTCCATCGGAAATGCAGCCGCCGCAGCCGGGATTCGATCCCGCGACCTGCGGGTCAGCAGCCGAGTACCTTAGCCACTAGACCACCGCGGCGGGGCTGTTACTTGCTGGCAGAGTCCTTCAAGGACTCTGCTTGTGGCTTACGCTGGTGCTTGCTGGGATGTTCCTTGTGGCTCACCAATGTGAAGATGGAATTGCCCGATCACAATTTGAGGGAAATTTTGCTTTATTGCTTTTATTTTTTTTTTACTATGTAGAGTTCCTTTTCTGTTCCACTTCTTCGCTGTTCATCATTCGGCGTGTCGATTCTGCATTGATTTCGTGGGCTTGTGTATATTTATACGAGTTTTGTCTTTTATGTTCGTAAGTATTGAGTGAGCATCCTTTTTTTTTTATCACGTTTTACCGCTTTTGTCTAACTAGTGTTTCCACTGCGAATTATGATGCGCTTTGCATTTATTGTTTTTTTTTCGTTAACACTGTGTATCAGGCGTGTATATTTTGTTTAGGTTTCACTCATTCTGCTCTAGTTTATTGGAATATCCCCCCCCTCCCCATGTTATGTCCTCTTTGAGGGCCTTTACAGGTATTTATTTTTTATGTATGATCGGTTGCCGTTTTGTGAACGCAACAATGCGTTGTGTATTGGGCAGTCGTCAGATAAGAAAACGACGTGTTCGCACATGTTTAGTGCCTGTTTGGAGCTAGCTCTTAAACTCTAGTCAAGTACATCATCTGTGTTGATTGTGTCTCCAGGTTCATCGAAATGAGAGGCGGAATGAGAGGAAGGGGAAGAGCTGGTCGGCCAGGAGGGATGTTCAAACCGAAAGTTTTTGTTCCGCACCTGCCGTTTGACTACTACGTGGTAAGCAGCCGACTTTCTGCGCCTTCAGTGTTATAAGTGTGGCATCTTGGGCTAGTTGGTATGACATGACGATAGTTATAGCGCTGAGAACAGAACGACGACACAGAGACTAGAAAGACACAAAGGACATGAGCGCTATGCCAAAATCCTTTATAAATCTGCAGCGAAATAATTTACCCCCAATCAATGAATGTCAAAGTTTCAAGGGGCTTCAAAGAGAAAAATGGTTTTTCTCATATTAGTAAATTACTCTTTTGCGATACCAAGGACATCACGCTTGCTGCAAGGAATCGCTTGGTAAGTGAGAAAATGTGCCAAAAAAAGAAAGCACCCCACCTTGAAATTCACACCAGTTAGCCTGACCCTATAGATTTTTGTGATGTCATCTGAAGCCTAGGTAGTTATTAATTTGAGTAAATGAAGCACATCCTCCACTTAAAGAGCCAGAGGCCTAACGCACAAAGTTTGTGAAAATTTTATTGTGGATAAAATACCTGAATGCACTTTGAAATCCATTATGTCATCGTTTGAGTATTTTGTGGGAAATTCAAAAGTGATATTTTTGGCACTGTTTTTCTCATCTGTTAATTCAGCTATGCTGGTGATAATAATGATGCTAAAGTCATTAAATTGTATTTATCAGTCTAAACTTGTTGCTTCCTTTTGGTGTACTTTTATTTAAACATTCGTGGTCCCATTTTTCGTTGGTCTATGGGTCCCACTGTTTCAGATGCTATTAGGGATTATGTAATGATAAAGATGTCTATGTCTTTTACCACTTTTGCCACCAAAACCTCGCTAAAGCATGTTCTTCTGGGCCACTTTGTTCATACATTGCCATTGCCGGAAGAAACGGCCCCAATAACTGGACACAACCCTTTCTTTACACTGTATTAATATAAAAAAAAAAACCTGTGTGTAAACAACTCATGATGAAACAAGTGCAAAAAATACACACGCTCAGAGAGGACACAGACAAGCACTTACTAGCAACTGAAAATTTTATTTCGAAACGAACACTAATAAATACATCACACGCATGTACGTCATTCCCGACTTCCCCTGTCATCATCAACAACGTGATATAAGAAAATATGCACTCCCATAATCTATGGCACACAACCGGAAACAAACACGTGTTAAAAACTAAGAAAAAAAAGTAAAACAGAAAAAAACAGAAAAAGCTCGTAAAACAAAAAAGCAAAAAACACTAGGTTTGTGTGTTGTCCAACATTTTATCTCACGTTGATGATGATGACAGGGGAAGCCGGGAATGACGTACATGCGTGTGATGTATTTATTAGTGTTCGTTTCGAAATAAAATTTTCAGTTGCTAGTAAGCGCTTGTCTGTGTCCTCTCTGAGTGTGTGTATTTTTTGCACTTGTTTCATCATGAACCTTTACTAACAAGCCCAACTGGCAGTCATCCTAAACAACACTCTTCTGTATTTCTTCCCATTCTAAGTTGTCTGAAAATACTTGGTGAAATCGCTCGTGTGGATCTAGAATCGAATAACCGAGGGCACTAAGTCAGTTGGTGCATGATACTCTAGTTGAACGCTCGCAACAACCCTGGTAGTGTCTTCATTACTACATTTGAAAGCCAGTACTTTGCTCTACCTATGTAGTCATGTTATATAGTCAGTAAGGCATTACAGTTGAATTCCTATATAAGAGACATGTACCGGGGAGCAATTTTGTATTTTATTTGAGGTGTTATCCGGGGTATAACGTATATGCCCTCTTATCAACACATTTCAATGTAGTCGGCATACTGGTGTCTATTTCATTGTCTCTTATAAATGTTTCAGCTGTATAGGGTATGGTACGGTCACTATATGTGCAACCTGCTCTTGTAAGGCCCTGATTGATCTGCTCATCTCTGTTGCAGTGTGAGCAGAATTTTCAAAAGGTGAAACCGCCGCCCGATGATAATGCCCTTACTCAGGTGAAACTTTTTACTTTTACTGTTTATCAGTCGTATTAGCATTATGTTCACGTGTCATAACTGAGCCCTACCCATTTGTTACTCTTGCAGGCCCTCCTGAAGAAAAACCAGGACCTGACTCCTACATCAGCAGAGCAGACATCAATTCTGAACCTCATGAACAAGATTCAGTCTGTGCTGGACACGCTTATCGTTTCTCCGAAAACTCTCGATGCCTGCGTGAGTTTCAGTCATTTCGTTAAGGAGTGAGAAATTGAATTGTGGAAAAGAAATGTTTTTAACAATCTTAAAGTTTTGTTGTAGTGCCTTCTAAACTTTTTAACGTTTTCAGCAAATTGAAGAAAGTCGTCAAGTGGGATCCTTCAAGAAAGGCACCATGATGATTGGCAACAACGTCGCAGATATCGTCGTCATTCTCAAGACACTTCCAACAGGTAGCTTCCTCTTCCACTTGCTGAGAAAACGTGTAGGCTGTGTTTAAAGGTTGTTCATTTGTTTGAAGGTACAGTTGCCGCTATAAGTGAAGTGACAAAGCACGCCACAAGTTGCATCTATGAAATTAGTCCAAATGCTCCTATGGTACTGCAGGCCACTAATGCATGCAGCAGTAAAAGGTTGCTGAACCTTGCCATCTAATACACATATTTAAAACCACGTGTGCTAACGACAATTCTCATTTTTTTGCTTGTGCGTTCTTCAGGTGAAGCGGTCCAAGCTTTGGCAAACAAAGTCCAGGAAGACATCAAGGCTATGGATTCCAGTTTAAGTAAGATAATGTTTTCAGTCACATTTGATGTTCAGACCTCAACGTAATCGCAACATGTCATCCTGTTCAGTTCTTGGAAAAATGCTGCTCTTCTCGCTTGCTGCATGTATTTGCCTCTGAGTTCTTGTTTATGAAGTAGTTCAATGCGCCTTCATTCTCATTTATGAGTTTTTCTACCATACCAGACTATTAGTAATCTTCGTCTAGTCTTCAAGGCCCGTGGTCACCTTCTGTAGTTTGTTTTTTATAAATATTTTTTGTTGAATTAGTTACACCAGCAAGATTCCCCCCCACTTTTTTTCGTTCTTTCCACATCTATGATCTATGGTTGGTCGTTGTTGTGCGTAACCCTGGGAATTATTTTAACACAAAAGTATTTTATGTCGGTGTTCACCAGTCTTCAGGGACAGATTTCTGTCACAGAAATGGCAATAAAAAAGTCACACGATCAGATGGCAAAGAAAAAAAAAAAGCTCCATAAACGGTAGTTGAACCAGTGGCCTCTTGGCCTACGACAACAGATGCCAGGCACAGTATCCCCTGTGCCACAATCAAATACTCTTAACAATTCACAAACCTGCGTTTTTTATCATGCATTTTCCTCTCGCAGTGCTCTTGGCTGGCGGGGAGTTGTCGCCTTATGGGAGAAATAAAATTAAGTAATATGCCATGATCGGGTGGCCTTCACATTAGCTGCTGCAATGCATCTGTCCCATTCAGCATGTTTACAGTAGCAGAGGTGCATTTTTGAGATGCCTTTACACACCGTGACGAGGCGACATTGGTTGTGTGTTGTAAAGCCACTCCTCACTCATAACATGCATCAGTACCAAAATTAGCTCTATGACGCGCACCTGCCTCAGCTGGCTGTAACACCATGTTCCCCGCTTACACTCAGCCCTAAAAGAAAAAAAAAAATGTGGCCGGGCTACAGGGAATCCACAGTGCACGATGCATTTCCCTTGAGTCCAGCTGTGGCTTTCAATAACTGTTAACGTTCGGTGAGACGGCAACACTAGCTCAAGTTCTTGTCAAATTCTCAACGCTCTTCTGGCTGTGCTACCACCTTTTCTGATTACGTTCTCATTATTAACAACTACAGCTACCGCAAGGGTATCTTTAATCATTCGTTGATGTTAGTCTTCAGGATAACAATGTAGTTCAAAGCATCAACATGGGTGCATCTATGCTAAACAGTGCTATAGCTGCCGAAAAATAACTTTCATTGTGCCAGCTTTCTTGTATCAAGGTATAGTAAAGAGTCGACTGCTTCAGTAAAGAGATGTCGCTCTTTTCGTGCTTTGATGAAGGCGAAATGCTTGAGGTTCTTGTACTTTGATGCAGGTAAATGTTTAAGAACCCTCAGATGGTCTTTATTCCTGGAGCCCTTCATTTACACCATTCCTCATAATCATGTGGTTTTGATGTGTAAAACCTCAACAGTTAAAATTAATATATGTCACACTGAGTTTGAAATTTGTTTTGTGGTGTGCATACTTTGTCACTGTTCTTTTTTTTTTTTCTTTCTATTTCTTCTGTGGCATGTATACTCAAAAGTAAGCTCGAGAAACATTTCATTGCCCAGGAAGTGTCCATGCCCACTGTAACTTTTCCACTGTTGGGTAATAACTTTTTTTACTCTCTCTTCAGAACTGACGCATCAAATGACAGAAGCCGGATTTGACCTCAAGCTCCCCGATGGTGCCACAGCCAAAGTTTTAATTAGCACAATTCATCAAAATCTCAACAAGTTGGACCCTGAATTGCATTGTGAGTTTTGTTTTCTTCGAGCAAGTATTTCTAAACAAGCACTGAAATATTGATCTACTGCACCAATCGTTAGAGGACTATCCTAGCATACGAAGCTTAAATAGTTTATCAAGAGATTCTATCTAACTTCTCACCTTTCATATTTGTTACTGGTTAACATTCCACCTGTAGTTAGACATTAAGTAGGTTGCAATGACTTCAAGGATGGACGATGCTTGGCCTGGTCTTCTTTCTTATGTTTCAAAACTCTCTACTCAGACTGCCTGAATTTCAATACCGAGAGCTACAAACTAAACGTACAGGTTAAGTAAAGTTACCATGACCATATTAAGCAGATAGTTGGGGGGGGGGGGGGGTAGCAAAGTTACGTGCCATTGAAACTGAAGCTACTTGGCAAAAAGACCACCATTAACCCAATATAAACAGCAACTCAGACTACCCGTTCATCCAGTAACATTCACTATAATAAACCATCTGTTTAGCTGTAGGGCATTGTTTTACTTTAGTTGATGTCAATATAATATTGGAGCTAGTTTAATGTCTCGAAAGCAGTCACCTCACCTTTGAGACTGCACGGAGGTATGTGGCAGACATCTCTTTAGCATGTCATTCTTGTTGCGGGAAAAGAAAGATGTGGTCCGGAAAAAGCAGGAGGCAACCTGTAATTTAACAAAGTAATTTTTGGTGAAAATTGTGTGATTATGGACTAGAGGTATGTGACACATGTAGCTACCCTGCTATAATAGTTTCCTGAGATCCCCGCGCATATCTCTTCCAAGTAAGAAAGCACATTGTAACACGCATGCACCTTTGTTAGTTTTGATCATCATGTCTTGTTCTGCGTGCCCAATCACTCTTTGAAACAAGCCAGCAGTAGTGATGACTAAGTGAGGATGAGTTGAGAAACATTGCATTTCAAACCTATATTCATGCGTCCAATCTAGTTCAAATTAAGATTTGTGTAGTACATCGCGCAATGCAAATCGCTTGTTGTCTGCCTTCTAATGTTTCTGCCTGTCATGGTTCATTGCTTTCCTCAGTGAAACAGAAGCTTCAGCAAAACCACCTGACGGCTATCCGGCACTCGCGCTGGTTCGAGGAGAATGCCCACCACTCGAGCATCAAGGTGCTGATTCGCATTCTGCGGGACCTGCGGAACCGCTTTGAGGGCTTTCAGCCGCTCACACCGTGGATAATTGACCTCTTGGTAGGGGACCACGCACATCTCTCTTAAAGGTTGTCATTTGCCTTGGATGTGTTCTAACAGTACTTACAGAGTAGATGGCTAAACAGACAGCGGCCATCTGGATTCCCATTTCGATTATCACTTTGCCAATATAATAGGCAGGTTTGAGGAGATGGGATTAGAGACAAAAATGGTACAGACTAATTCACTGCCCAAACAGGATGGCGGCTCACAAAAATGCTCTGATGGATCATATGTCGCCGATATGGCTGTCTGCACAGCAGCAGAGGCATTCCCATGACCTCTGTGTAAGCTACGATCCATTTTCATAAGTTTAAACATGAAACAAGTTACCAAATAACAGTTACGTTAGCTTTTCTTCACTTTCACTTCTGAACACGGGGTGGCATCTTGTCACACAGACATCATCCAGGCGCATTCTCAGTGTACCGGAACTCGTTGCAGTTTTCTAATGTTGGTGTAAACTCTACAATTTTGTCCAGAATTGGAACACAGTCTTAGATGGAAGGCAAAGGGGATGTTGTTTGGCATAGAAGGTGTTGTTTAAGAGCCTCCTTGCAAACACGTGGTGAATAGCATAGGAAAGATCGTGTCTTATCTAGGGTGCTTAATTTTCAGGCCCATTATGCCATCATGGTTCATCCAAGCCGACAGCCTCTGCCAATCAATATTGCTTTCAGGTAAATGTGCTTTCCTCTCTACCTTGCTTTTCTTTGTCAAATGTGGTGCATACGAAGTCAAACTGTTCAACTAAAACATATAGCTTATGAAATAGGTGTCTTGTATTTTTACCTGGCAGAGAATGGTCAAATAAAAGTGCTATGTCAGTTGGATCTAAACAGCTTGTCAGTAAGTTGTGCGGTCTGCAGTCACATTCAAGCTGTTTGTACCTATATGCTTGCTCTTCAGGTATGCAAGCCTGGAAAATTTGTATGCGTGTGTCGTAGAAAACTGTAGCAAGAACTTTGCAAGCAACTTATGTAAAAGGACAAACATGTGTCTGCTACGCCACTATGAAAACATGTTATGTGGTGAAGTATACCAAAAATCAGAAGCCATTGTCATGGTACATAGTGTGCCTCGAAACACTTTTTTGACTATAGATTTCGCAGGCCCCCAAAATTGCTTGACTCCTTGGGATCAATGGACCATCATTCGAGAACCACTGCATTGATGTCTGCACCATGAGTGTGCAGACAGCATGTAGTCAGCAGCAGCAGATTAAAAAAAGTGCTTGTAGTAAGAGCCGAAATTGACCGAGGCATGGTACCTCTGTGTGCCCACGCATATCAGCACAGTCATTAAATGTGACAGTGACATGCGCGGCTGCTCAAGGGGCAAAAGTTTTTTGTTTAAAAAAACATGAACAAAGTTGCAGAAGGTGACGATTGTGACTTTTTTTCTGCCCTTTGTGACATCTTGTGTATAGTATTTAGATGAGGAGGCTTCTTTCACCAGCAGTTTTACACAGTGTTGCGTGACAAATGATGGTGCTCGGACTGCGCTATAAATGTTTTGTGCAAAGGTTCTAGCTAACTGCATTCATCAAGCAGCAAAAGTATGCCAGACTATAAACGCAAGTGCCCTTAGGGTTCTCTGCCAATCCTCCATGATGTCTCGTGGATTGAGTCATCTGCTAGGGCCCACGTAAGCTGTCAGTAAAGGCATATTGCATTGCATTGCAGGGATTCCAAGAATGTAACATAATAATTTGCAGGACATTTTGTTGAGGAATTGGGGCAAATATACAAAAGAAGGCTGAAATTCATAGTGTCACTGGGACACTTTTTCTCAAGAACTCTTCATAAACATAAAATTTAGACTTTCACGTTCATTTGCTCTTCTAGAAATTGTGCCTGTAATGGTGAAATTAAAAAGGGTCTTGTGTTTAGTTTCGATGTTTTGTTACACCCAATTCACTCAACCTCATTATGAATAAAATTGCACCTGCTGCGAAAATACTTGGTTATTTTCTAAAATTTGTTATAAATTATTATTTGTAACACTGTATCTATGGTAAAGCTGTTGGTCACTTACTTCGTTATAACCAATAGTTCGTCACATCGAGGTTTGGGTCTACTAAATGTTGCAATCTTTTGCCTGCAGGCGTGTGTTGCAGCTGTTGGCGGCGGGTTTGTTTCTGCCCGGCTCTGCGGGTATACCGGACCCTTGTGATGGGGGAGGCACTTTCCGGGCACACACTGTCATGAGCCTCGAGCAACAGGTGGGCTGGCATGCTTCAATTAATAGAGTTGAGGGTCCTTGATTCTTGTGACTATGCTTCGCAGTTATCCACTTTGTTTCTGATAGCACACAGAAATAATTCCTCTGACTTGTATTTGACTCTTCATAAAAGCAATCATTGCCGTTAACGACAAAATGCATAGACATGTACATAACTGTAACCCGGGACTGGTACTCTTTTCCACTAGTCATTGATTGATATATGTTGGTTTCACTTTGGCAAGGTTATGCTATATAGGCTGCATAATTTTGTCTAATCTCTCTTCGATGACATGAGTTTTTCTCTCCCAGGATTTGGTCTGCCTGACTGCCCAAAACCTGCTGCGCATTCTTTCCCATGGAGGGTACAAGAGTATCCTGGGTATCGGTGGACCTAAAAGTAAGCTTCTCACGTTTGCTTGCTTGCTTCGTGAATTTCGTTGTCTACTGTTCTCAGTTTTCTCTATTGCTTTTTGAAAGCAAAAATAATTCTCTCACAGCTCTTCCAGATGGTAAGTGCTTGGCTGTCATTTCCTTAATAGTTGGAACTACCTTCCTTGGAGTGGGGCATATTCATGCAGTCTGTACCCAGGGTGTTTGTTCATTAGGTAGCATGGGGAAGGGGGGTCTGCCCGTATTCTTAGTTAGCGATTATACAACATTTCTACATGGTTTAAAGCTGTTCACTTAAGGTTTGGTTCGAGAATTGAAATTGAACTATGGAAGAGCACGACTGTTGCATTCTTAACAAAGGTCTTTGTGTGATGGAACTATGTATGCCTCATGGGCTTGAAATGAGAATTCTTGTCAAGCTCCATGATCTCGCCTAAACTAAGCTTCTCTTGCATGTTGGTCCCATCTGTTTCTGTGAAAATCTGAAAAATATAGAAGCTTGTATGTCTAAAGTTGGCTCATGCATTACTGATTCCGAGACAAGTTGTTGGTGCTGCAAGATGTAGTCCTTGCTGATGTGCAGGCATGCAGCACTCTGAGCAGCTTTTGAGAATTCATTCTACCGTTGCGTGATGCTGATTAGCTGTGCATTTTCGCTCTTTCATTCGTTGATACAGAGGTTGATACAGAAACGACCGTGTTGGAAGGAGTTGTGATCACGCCATTGACACCAGTTTACGAGAAGTTCGCAGAGAAGAAAGATGATGAGGAAATGGATCAAGAAGAGGAGGACAAGATGGAAACACAAGAGCAGTAATCCAGAGTAAAGAATAGATGTGGACAGCGGCATCTTCCACTGGGTTTTGTGCTTTGCTTACATCTCGCATCATCATCAAGCCAGTACAACTGACATAGTACTTGTGTACTCCTCAACCCTTGCCCCCAAGACTGCAAAAATAAAGTATGCTGTGGAATTGACCGTGTCGTTAATTTTATGAAAGTGGAGAGATTTAGCCAGAATGTATGTAAAGTTAAAGCCCTTATAAGAAGCAGTGCTTCAACAGACAGCTAGGTGTGGCACATTTGTATGCCTACATCAAATAGGAGTTGATCTGAAAATAAGAATTTGGTATGCTGCTGATAAAAAACACTATGTAAGGGACTAGAACTACACCTTAGTGCATGTCTCTTATAAAGGGGTTGAACTGTGCTTATACAGTACTATTTATTTACCAGTTTGCTTTCTCTTTCTGCTTTCGTGTGAGTTTTTATTTAGTCGCCAACCTTGAAATGTATTTTATTTCTTCAAGCAAATATTTCTAGCCAGGTATCTCCTTCGAGCAGTTAATACTGCACATTACTTCAGTGGTCCTTAAGTCACATGAGGTGTACGAACAGTGTTGTGTCGATAAATTCTTTCAAAGACGTTGAGATTTGTCTGTGAAGTGTAAAATATGCTTAAAATTGTCAATCTTTATTGGCTCATTAATTTTTTGTGTGGATTTGTAGCTGTCTCATTTAGGATGTTGCACTCCTCTTGATAATTTTCAGTGAACCTAAGGCCCAGGACTGCTCTGCAGGATTACTATCTTGATAATCCTGCAGAGTCATTGCCAACCAAATAATATGACCATTGCCATAACTGTGGGTTGCTTTTACCTGGCCTTTATGGCAGGAAGTGTTACAGCAACTTCAATGTGTGCTTCTTACTCTAGTTAATTTCTTGGAATTCTCAATAAATAATTCCTTGGGCTATTCGCTGCCCTGAACAATTGTCCTGTGCATACCTTTAAGCAGTAGAAGACCTCAGTACCTGCTGGCAGAAAGTGGCATGTTCAACAGGTCGCTTCTGATCGCTCTCTGCTGTGGGTCATCCCGTGAACTCACGTGACGTCATCCTCAAGAGGCACTAGCGCGACAGTCGCCATACTCGTGGTTTCGTGTTGTTTATAGTGAACTAGAACCGTTGTTGAAGAAGCAAAATTTTCGGGTGGGCAGACCTAGCGTTAGCGTTCGTCACTCAATGGGAGCCCACAAGCGGTCAGCGTACGACGCATGCGCAACGCTGACGCAAAGCTTTGCGTTGCGCTGTTTCAAAACTCGATGCGGAGCAGCTTATGGCGGGGTTGGATCCAGTGTGCGGCGTAACCACACTTACTGCGCATGCGCAACAGGCTGTCCACGCCATAACCCACGCAACGCCAGAACGCGCTGACGCGTTCGCGCTTGTGTAAGGGTCTAGGTAAGACGTTCTGGCCTTTCCCTCTTACACTCTCTCGGCAATCACGTGATTGTACCAAGGAACTAGATTCTGCAGACTAGGGAGCCTTCATGTGCGCGCGTCTGCGTGGAGACGCGCACACATGAAGGCTTCCTACTGCAGACGCGCGATGAAACCTTCCCGCGCGGTGTGGCGATGAACCCACATGGCGTACAGTTCCCGACGAGTAACAGAAACAGAAACTACAGTGAATTTATGGTGTGCTCCAGTTGCAAGGACGTGTTAGCATAGGGCAAGATGCCCGTGATCATGGAGGAAGGAAAACATGCTCGTGATTAACGGAACTTTAAGTCGACCCATGTGGTACTTCGCATGCTACTTACGATTCCCTTCAGAGACCGTGTAATTTTTATCGTCGGACAATAACCAAAGCTCTCGACAGCACTTGTAATAATCACATTTTTTTAAGAAAGTAGGTTTGTAGCCTAGTAATAATAACAAATACGTGAAAAAACTTTTTTTTTCCTATGCACAGCGTACGTTTATCTAATCTGGCAACCAAACCAGGTTAGTTTCGATTTCGTTTCGGTCTGTCGTGCTATGGTCGTGCTCACGCTGACGACGGTTCTGTCGCTTCGCTGTGGCCTTTGATGTATGCTGGTGTGTAGACACGTTAACTTCCCGCACAGCCCACGAAGACACGCGTCGGAGGCCCGTGCTTCCACTAGATCCTCAGCCGAGCAGCTCGAAATGCGAGCGGGCAGAGGAAGAGGCCGTGCGAGATGCGACCGACGTCAAACGGGGCACGGCGACGGCAGCGATGCTCCTCGAGCGGCAACGATCGCAGGGACGTGCGTGGATATGTGTCCGCCGCGAGAACGCCAGTGGTGAGAGCTCGCTGCTGCGACTGTTGCGTGTTCCGCATCTCGAATGGTCACTCGTCTGTGAACGATTTGCTCACGCGCACTACTGTTGCCTTCCAGGCGTGAAAAAGAACGTCTCCTCCATCCTTTCGAGATCATCGATGGCACGGAAAGCGACGCTCGGTACGATACTTACGATCGTCTCACTACAAATTGTGAAAGTTCGGATCGCTGTAAACCAACTGACACCAGAAGGGTGTCAGTTGGTTTACAGCGACCTGGTGTCACGCGGTGCATTACCGATTGCGATTCTGCCCCAGTGGGATCAAACTTCTCAGCAGGAGTTGGCGCTTTCTTAAAGGAACCAATCGCGATAAAAAAAATTCGATCTGTATCAGGCCCGATCGCTATCGTAATTTGATTGATATGTGGGGTTTAACGTCCCAAAACCACTATATGATTATGAGAGACGCCGTAGTGGAGGGCTCCGGAAATTTAGACCACCTGGGGTTCTTTAACGTGCACCCAAGTCTGAGCACACGGGCCTACAACATTTCCGCCTCCATCGGAAATGCAGCCGCCGCAGCCGGGTCGCTATCGTAATTTACCGCGTGACACCGGTATAAAGCGATGTAATTGTGGGCTTTCATGTGTGTCATTCGTCGATCGTTGAAACGTGCGAAATGCAAACGCCATCGGGAGTGTTTATTGCAGTGAAAGCATACGTTGCGGTATGCTTAAACAAGGCATGTGAAATGTGAACAAACGAATGAAGCAAGAAGGTGTCGCGAGGGCACCAAATCGTCTGTTGCTACAGAACTGACTAAAAGCGTGCAGCGAGTGTGCAGTTGAAAATGCTATTTGACGTGCACAACTTTCGCTATGACCAGCCACATTTTTTGCGGGACGTTTGTTGCACACCGTATGAATGAAACGTACGAAGCAGCAAGTTTCTAAAAAAGTTCAGTTGGGACCACCACCTCGTCATCAATGCAGTATTCTGAAAGCGCTGACCAAGTATTTAGGAGAAGCAGAACTTGACAAGAGACTATAAATTTATCAACGTTTGCTTCATTGCCCCCTTCCTCATCATCATCAACACCTCCTCGCTCTTCTCTTTTTTCTGCCCCCCTCCCCTTTCCCAACGCTGAGTAGCTGACCAGAAAATGGATTCAGGCCGACCTCTCAGCTTTTCTGCCAGAATAAACATTTCTCTCTCTGTATGGTTTATGTAAGGAACCAAACGACCATTGCATAGTGCACATAACAGAACCGTATGTCATCATTGTGAGCACATCGATTTCATAGACGAGAAGATAACTTTTCCAAAATGAGGCAAAAATTATGCAGAAATTATCTAGAAATAACTAAGAACTAAAATATTTCATCCCAACATACTGCTTACAGATCTGGCATGCTTAAGATAAATGTACAACTTAATAAAACTTGCTGCTGGGCAGGTTGGTTCATACTGAAAAAGATGGTTGATCAAAAACAACACAGACACAGAAGACACGAATGCACTCTTTGAGGGAAAAGAGGGTTACACGAAAAGAACATAAACACAGAAGACACGAATGCATTGCACTCAGTCATGTCTCCTGTGTCCATGTGTAGTTTGTGCACATCCATCTTGTCCATCTGAGAACTTTCAAGTTTATGTTTTTCTTCATGTGCGAAATACTTGGGGTTTCCTAGCATAATTTTTAATACAAATGTTATAGAAAAGAGTCCTCCCAGTATTCAGTTGAATAACGAATGTTTTCTCCTCCTATTGAAAGATATTGAATGATGAGTATTTGAGCGAATTTCATTCCAGTAGTAAATTCAAACAAAAACACTTTATAATAGTGTAATCTTTATAATAACTTGCTTTAGTTCACGCATCTCATTTTTTACTACGTCACAAAACTGTATTTCGCAGCTGTCAGATTTTTTACATGTGAGAGACACTGACTGTTGGTAGGATTATTATGTTTATTTCTATTAGTTGACCTAAACAGGAGTGACGTTGATATGGAACACCCATTTGCAGGCCTAAGGCTGACAGGAACAAAGCCATCAAGCAATTCTCCAGATCGGCGGCCGGACAGAGGGAGGCTACTTCTGATGAACTCAGGCCACCAGATGTACTGCTCAAGACAACAGCTTACCTAATGCGCATGTGAGCTTTCCTTTTTATATACGTTGTATAAAATGCATGTCATAGCAATAGCAGGCATTTATATAGACTTTAGTTAGAGCTACTCAGTTGCTGTAATATCTTGTGCAAGAAATTTGGGTGCAGCATTAATGTGGATGAACTAAAAAATACATGTGTATGTGTGTGTGTGTTGAGACATACATTTTGCAACCCAAGCAAGCCCACAATGCACTGGTGTACAAAAGCGTGTGCTTGAATAGACTTTCTTGCAGAAAAAACTGATGAAAAGTGGGGGAAGAGTGAAACGAGAAAAAAAGAAACAAGTAAAGATTTGTAAATCAAAAAAACTCAAGTGAAAATTGCTGTAAAAAAAGTGCAAGTAGTATTTAAATTCAGCTCTAATGCATTGCAGGATTGCACCATCATGCCGTGGAGACAGCTGGACTGACACATACCACTTCGTGTGGGACAGATTGTGGGCTGTGCGCCAGGATATGACCATCCAAGGTCTCAACGGTGGGGAGTGCATCAAAATACTGGAACAGGCTGTGCGTTTTTACGTCTATTCAGCCTTCAGGTACCTCGAAACAATCATTTCCAGGTTGCCTATTGGAGCCATGCCGCCACTGTGTTGCACAATGAACATTACTTCATTAAAACAACCCACGGCATTTGCAGAGTGAAGTGTAGAGAGGAGTTAGTATTAACATACACGGGCACAGGTGCTCACCAAACCTATAACATATATATAAATGAAATAATAATAATAATAATAATAATAATAATAATAATAATAATAATAATAATAATAATAATAATAATAATAATAATAATAATAATAATAAAGACCTCAGAAGGTCCCATATGCATTTGCCTAAAATAATTTGAAGGGGAAAGCCACTTTTTCTTTTCTTCTCATTGTCAGTTGACGTGTGCATCCTCACCCACCCACCTCTAAAAGCTTTCTGTGCCTAGCATGACTTTGAACTGCCTCAAGGATTGGAAGCATTGCAAACTTTCTGCCCCTGACCCGGTTGTGCATTGCCTCTATGATCAGTGATGATGTCATGTGATTCATTTTGGGACATCAAATTTCGGCATTTGAATGTATAATGATGTCATATGGAATTGTTATTGCTTGATGATTTTTCACATCTGTGTTCATGCTGCAGGATGCTGAGGGTCCATTTTCATGTTTAATGAGGCACCTAAGGCTGTCACTTTAAAAAATAAAGTGAGGGAGAATGCCATTGCAATGTCATAGTGTTATGAATTGGCACTTGATGCTTGACCATGTAACGCTTGGTGGTGGACATCAGCTCATCACCTAAAGTTATCAAGCGAAGTTGAATTTTTTCAGCTTTGACAAACTGGACATATTTAAGCTACTGGCTTTTCCGTGGCTCATCACTATTAGACCAGCCTCGAAATGATACATATTGGCCAGAGATGTCAGCCAACGTAATATTGATTCACATGGATGCTAATCCACAGGTCATTGTAACATGACCTGTTTTTTTTTATTTACTACATACTGCCGGCCTCATATGGAGGCCTTAGGCAGGAGTGGGGCATAAATACACAACACAAAACAAGCTCGAAGTATTGAACAGAACTGCACAAACAAAAAAGAAATACATGACTTAGTATTCTGCAAATCAACGGCATTGGCAAAATATGCAAAAGGAACGAAAGGGAACCAATTGCACGGCAGTTATTACTCGCATAGCACAAGGTACTCACATCAAGTATTTACATAGCAGAAAGCATTGCGGGTGCTGACATTGTACTTACATAGCACAAAAAGTCAAAGGAAAAAAGAAAAAGAAAGTTTCACCATTTATTCGAACACAGCAAAGTGAAAGCGAATGCAAGTGAGTACATGATTTTACATGACGCTTTGAGCATCGTGGCAATTAAAGAACTTCATTTCTGATCGCCTGCAGAAAAGAATCAATGTTGGAACGTTCTACCGCATGAGCAGATAAGGCATTCCACTCGACGATTGTTCGAGGAAAGAAAGAGGACGTAAAAGTGTCTGTTCTGCACTTCAGCTCGGCCACCTTTTTTGCGTGAAGAGACCGAGTAAAGCGGCTAATGGCAGGTTTTATTTTTTTATTATTTATTATTAATTTTTATTATTTATTATTATTTATTATTCTGTTATTAGGTTTTTATTATTTTTTTGACAACTTCATCTGTGCGCAGGTGCTTCGAAGAAGATATGAATGCTTTTGATCCTCACATCAACAACCAACACCTACAGGAATGTTTGAAGCGCCTGTTAGTTCAGTACCAGCAGTTCGCTGTAGACAAGTGTGGGAACAGACCAGAAATGGAAGCCATCTACATTCTTCACAACCTGGGATCGTTTGATGCTCTAGCTCATGCGATGACTCTTCCAAAGGAAATAAGGTGAGATGACAAAAAGAAAACATTCTATAGCGATGATCCACAAGCTGGCAACATCATTGTCGTGCCATTTTGTAGATTTGTTTGTATGCGCCGTCAGAGCTGTCCATAGCCAGCGTACAGGAGGTGTTTGAGAGGTCTCTAATCATCCAAGTCACTGTGCGGATCTCGGACACAGCGTGTACCGAGAGTTTCTTGCAAGTGCGGCAAGAGTCAAGACCTGCAAAATGGCCACCCCACCGCTAGCACTCCTCACGGTTGACGTCAAAACGTACTCCCATAAATCTGTGGTTAATTTCTTGGGAGGCTCATGCCTGCTGGCCCCTACATTCTTAGTGTGCAGCACTGTAGACAGCCATCAAAGTGCTTGTGGTGTTTATAGGAGACTGATGCACTCCTAGAAGTTGCTGGGAAGCTTGTTCGATTGCATTTTAGTAAGTACTTATGTTTCTGAAGATGCAATGGAGCTTCATATCATACGTCTTGAATTATGTACATCGTAGAACTTCTGTATGCTAAATGGCGCATAACAGTGATAAATTGAACATGGCAAAGTGTAAGAGTGCATAGTTAATTATTTAATATCTGTTTGCCTTCAACTTGCAAGCATTACATGTACCATGGACATGGTGCCTGCACAATCACATTATTATAAAACAAGAAAATTAAAGCATAATAAAGAGAAGTACACAAAATTCTGAGCCATACGTATCATGTACTGGCATGTATTTCTAAAAATGAGGACAATGAACATTCCAGCGATAATTGATGGATTATAATTGACTTCTTAGTATGTTTCCAATGGTGTAAAGTGACTGATCTAAAGTCATGTCTCTCAGCTTATAAAATGCATTGCAGATATGACATGCCTTGCATGAATGAAGACGTTTCTGACTACAAGATTTATATAGTTGAAAGCTTTGGAATGCATTATATTTACTTGAAGCATAGTATGGCAAAAAAAAAAAAGAATGCATACTACATTTAATGTTGCGAAAGATCTATAGCGGTCTGGTCATTATCTACAGTAGTCCAAATTGTCCCTTTGTATGTGCCAAGGCAGCTCATGTTCATGCATTTTGCTCATACACATTGAACTGTTGGAAATTTATTCTTTCTGGATGATATCCACATAGGAAGATAATAGCTATGTTCCTATGCTCCCTCCAGTGGACAAAGGACATTGCTTTCTATTGTTTTACCATTAGCTCGTGCATTCTAACAGTCTTTAAAACATTATTTACTCGAGATTTTCACCAGCTTTTCATTTGTCTGCTGATGCATCATTTGCTGGTTGTATTTGTATCACAAATTTCAGTGCAGGAACATTTGTTACATGCCTTCATATTTAATTTGCTTGTTCTAGCTTTCTCTTTCATCAATTACTAGAGAGCGGTCTTGTTTTGCTTATTTTTCTTCTTGCCAGGAACCACAGTTTGGTCAAGATTTCACTGGACACAAGCCTGGCGCACAGAAAAGGAAACTTTGTTCGAGTTCTGAGAAACTACAAGGCCCTTCGTCCTATACTTGCTTGCGCTTTGCACTCACATTTGGAGCTTATTAGGAGGCAAGTGTTCACTGACGCAAATACTATTCATTTGGTCTGAATAACATTTCATTGGCAGTTATTTGTAGGGACCTTAGAAGTGGTGAAAAGTTTAGTGGTCATCAGTTTAGTTATTCGATTCACCGCATCACGAATGTCACATAAGGTCGGTGGAAGGGGGAAACAGCATGTGATGCATTCAAAGCATAGCGACTGTTGAATATCAGCACCAGTTGAAGGTCCAAAGAACATTGAGACCAAGGCAAAGCAGCCACGATGTATTCCAGGCATAAAATAGAGTGCACATCAAAAGGGGCCTATAGGTATATTTCTAGTTCGTGCATGTTACAAAATATGCAAGTTGTGTCATATGATTTTAAAATAGATGGTTTCACAGTATCCAGTGTAGTTAGGATTAGACTACTGTAAGAAATACTCGGGCAGGCCTGTTGCCGGAAAAAGCCTGCCAATGCTCTGTGTTGGGCAAATAAGAACAAAGCAAATGACCTAAATGAGCGATTTCGTAGTATACATGACAAAAACTTAATGTAACCAGATATACACATTAATCATTATTCAGCTTTGCATTCATTAATGTATGTTTCAATATTAGAAAATGTTCCTTCCTGTTGATGTGGCGTTTCTACAGCACCAAAGAGCAGCAGGATTAACTTACATTCTCCATCAGAGGGCTTGGTTTTGTTCCTGGCTATGCATGTTTTCAATTAACTTGAATGCAAAACAAAAAAGTTATATATAGTTGAGTTGTACTTCTGTGTACATAGACCATTCTTGGGACCAGTCTAGCTTTTCGTATGCCAAAACTGACTTGCACAACAATTCTGCTCTTGCTTGTCATACTTCTTTCTTCGTGTGCCATCCTGCCACATAGTTTGACCAAGATGAACAATTTGCACTGTTATAGAATTTACCAAATGATGGAACCGGTGGTTATCGTAATCTGATGAGGATATCTTCAAACAGAACAGCGCTGCAGGTTATGGCGGTGGCTTTCAGCTCCCAGAATTGCAAGTTTCCTCTGTCCACACTAGGCCGCTGGCTCGGCTGCTCTGAGAACACTGCAAGAGAACTGTGCCATCTCTACCAGCTACCAGTTCAGGACTCTGAAGTCAAGTTTCTCAAAGGTCGTGGAGATTTCACATTGAAACAAGTGAGCAAATTTGTATCGCTTGGCTCTGAAGATCAAGCCCTTGTATCAGTCTGGAAGATGGGACTCTTAAAAAAACAAACTGAATTGACCTGAAAAAATTTTTACTACAGCTGTGGAATGCTATACTTGCTGTGATATTTGCATTAAAAAAGTATTCGAGCCATTTATGGTCAGTTACAAAAGGTACCGTGGCAGTTTACCCTCTTGTAACATTCTCCATGACACTTATCTCACCTCAAGCATGAATTGCTTAGGATAGCAGACAGCAGTTGTAACAAAATGGTGCATGTAGTGATTTCAGCTCTCTCTTCACATTTAATTGTTACTGTAAGGCCTTAGAGAGCCCTTTATCTCTCGAACCCCTTCATTAGAGACATGCACTGGGGAGCAATTTTTGTCTTTTATATTCTTATAAGCAATGTACCACATACTGTGCATTTTTTTATCAACCCCTATTTTAGTTTTGGCACACTGGTGTCTATTATACCCATTCGTCTCTTACATCAGTGCCTCTTATAAATGAATTAAGACTGTATGTTAACTAATGCTTTTCCTTCTAGTACAGTAGACTTTGCTCAAACGAAACCTAAAGGGACCAGGAAAATAAGTTGAGAGATAAACGAAGCTGTAGAATTCAAGTATGAAACCAATCATATTAGAGGCATTTAATTTTATTAAACAGAAGTTCTACTAAATAATTTATATTTGCTGAGAGTCTACTAAATTGTATCCTGTTCATACTTCTGTTTGGCTCTACATTGTTTTATGAGTGCTCTGTCTTCACAGAACGATTGAATCAACTGAAACTTTGTAACTTCTGAGAATTGTGGGTTTATTGACACGCCGCACACTGAGTGACTCAAAAATACATTAGTAATTAATCATGGTAGCCATTTTGAATAGCTACTCATATCTTGTGCCATTTGGTGTTTGTTTTGGTTAAGGGGGACATATTTCAAGTGTACATTAGCTGTTACTTAACTGAGCCCTCTGCCATCGCCCTTTTTTGTTCACTTTCAGTCCAAGAAGCACCGTGATTCAGCCCTCGTGAAGGTCTTGACTAAAAGCGACATCAGCACTTTACTTTGTCCAGATGACGAAAGACAACCATGTCAAGGGAGCTGACGACAGATGCTATTGAATTTGACAAAGACCCACATCACTGCTTCTAATCACAGAGCAAGAATTTTCCTAATTTATTTGCACATCGCAATAAAATCATGCTCAGCTTCATCAATGAATTTGTTACTTTGCTTACTTTTTTGCAATTATTCATGCACCTGTGACATCATTGCACAGTGGAGGCATTTTTTTAAACGGTACAACCAATAAAATAAAATGTACTTATTATTCAGCAGTTTTAGAGGGGACCTCTTTCCAGATGTGTGTGTGCATGTGTGGGTATTTGTGTGTGTGTGTGTGTGTGAATGCATGTGTATGTTCTCCACTGTCAATATGCAAATCAGAATGAGAGTTTGTAAACTGTGCTTGAGAGTAAAATTTTTTTGAATGTTTCATTCAAAGTATATGTGCAAGTATCTCTCCTATACATACAGCTAACTTTCCTTAACGCGTCCACGTTCTGTAATTGACCGCGCTCTTATCTCTTGCTCTCGACGAGAGAATGCGCAGTGAGGCAACTGAAATGTACAAGCTTGGGAGATAAGAACGCTTGCCAAGATTACAACAGGTGCTTGGGCGGTGCCGATTGCTATGTGTGGCAGTAAGACGGCACACAGCGTGCACGCTGTTGGACGTCGGCAAACCGAAAATCATGCGCTCATCGTAGATTTAAGCAAGTAAGCTTTTAACCGGTGTTAACCACTATGCTGCTTCGGTTAAGATAACCCCTGTAACTATGCAATGAGTATCTCTCAACTGTTTATGATTTTTGCTTTCCTTGTTAAGTGTATTTTCAGTGAAAGAGTTGCTTGTCGATAGTGTCAGCTAAGAATGTAGAACCTGGGAGTACCTTGAAAAACTAGCAGCTGTCCGTGTTTCTTCCCGAGGTCTTGACATCAGCATATGCTTCAACGCAAGAATTGTTTAATTCTAAATGCAGTCTCTGAAGTATGTTGCAGCGCAGCACTGGTCAATACTGTCTTTAAGATTTTTTGTATATTAGCACTTTTTGCCAACATTCTTGATGAGTTATTATCATTAAACTGCTGAGAGATTGCTGTAGACTCAGTTCTAACAAGTCATTGTAATATCAGCAACACGGATATATAATTTAAGAGCAGGAAGTTACATATATCAGATAAATGTCTGCTTTCAGGTTTTAAACATGAACTATGAGCTTGTTATTAAACATTTCCCCAGGATCTAAAAAAAGACTATCTTTAGCTCTTATTTATATCTTGCTTCGAAAATCACTCTTCAGTACTTTGTTGTGTGGCTTGTGCCAATATGTGGACAACCGCAAGAGGGTTGGAAGGAGTGGGGAAGGTAAAGCTGTTGAGTGAGGCACAAAAGACCCGTTGGCAGTTCTATAGCAGCTCCATTTCATTCCATGAGGCCACTTGTGCTTGCTTTTTCTCTTTTTTAACCCCATTCGCCGCCTACAAGCGTTGACTGTTGCCATTTGGAACGACGGTTTGCTCGGCAAAGGAGACCAAGCTTAGGCACTCACCAAAACACCATGGGCAAAATATGTGCTTACAAGATCAACATGGGCTACGATGACGAAATGGTAAGCTTGTTTTGTGTTTCAATGTTCTATGGGGCTTCAAGCTGTCGACTTCTGTTTGCATACTGTGTAACTTTTATGCTACAGTTGCATCTTCGCTTCATACCATATTTACTTTTAGATATGGCTACAAAAATTTATTCTCAATTTTTCTTGGCTGTCTAAATAAAATCAGGTAGTTAGCCATTGACAAGGTGTGTAGGCTACTGTGTGATAAAGTGCTAGTTAGAATGCAAGCTACATTTTTGCTATTTTGAAACCAACATACAAGCTAAAACAACATGTCAACCTTATCATTTGCTTCAGACATTAGAAGGCTACAAATGGTCCCCGAAAAGGGCTTTTGCTGGCTGGACTGTGATCATCTTGACTGCCGGTATCCCCCTAATACTCGCCTCCTGGAAACGAAGCATTTTGCTCAGGTTGACACACATGCTCTGCCATCCTGATGAGGCACAGAAAGTGCTCCTCAAAGTAAGATCCGCATTCATTTGGGTAGTGTGTACTCTCGATGGAGTTAGTAACCTAGCATGAAAGTGGTGGTGTATCATTTGTCCTTCTTTTACTAGTCAAGCAAGATTAAATAAAGTTGCTAACATGGGGGCAATGTCTTAGGATCTAGAAAACAACAGTAGGCATACCTTTTGTGGCAGGTTAGGTAGTGTCCGTGAGATGAAGTAACAATAGGCTGCCAGAATAAATGTATTGATAAAAAGTGCATACATGATGGAGATGCAAGGTAGTTGCATACGATTGGTAACACAGTTGTTTTAACGAAAAGAAAAACACTTGTATGAAAAATACATGCTTGCTCTAAAAAGTCACACTACTTATTTCATGGTTGGAATAGTGCAGCCTCATGCGTACTTATGAAATGATAGGCTAACGAGCTATCCTTTTCTAAGTCCATGTGCAGCTTCACTGTTGCAGCCATGAACCTATACTAACTTGGGCATTTTGCCACCCTTCAGCGCATTTGTTTAACATATTTTCTCTATAACCCTGTTTTAAGAATATTATTTTTTTTGTAAAGAAGTAATTATTTATTTTTAAGATTTCGAGCCCTTGGATAAATGAATGAACTCGGGACTTTGTTACCAGTATTAGGCATGTATGAATGTGTAATACTGAATTAGTTTTATTTATGAGTAATTATGATATGAATGTAGACTCCTTTATTGTTGTCAAACAGTACTTATGCTCCTCGAAATATGATGTTTAACTAGGAGAAAGGAGGAACAATCAGTCCGGTGTCAAGTATCTAAATTGCTAGTTTATGCTTCTAAAACCTATATGCAAATCTGGAAGAACTATGCAATAGCCTACAATCTTATCAAAAGAATGCCATTACAGAAACTTGAGAAAACCCTTTGTTGTTTAGTAACACATATGGGCAAACAACAGTAGCCTTTTTAACACTCTTTTCTACTCATGGTTCCTCTTCAACTTTCTGAAAATGCTGGACTAGTTGTCTGTCAACTCTGCCTATTTGATGTTTAAAGATTTTCCTATGTTCTTTGTGGCATAATGTGATGATTTCTTGCATTTTCAAATATGTGTTCTCGTGTCGTGAAAAGCTTCAACCTAAAATAATTTATTACGAGTAACTTTCTTCTGATTCGCGGATTTAACCAACTTTGTGCAGGACAAGCATTCCCAAGAGTTCATTGAAACAGTTTACCAAAGCAGCAGACCACTGAAAGATGGCTGCAGCTACTGCTTTTTTTACAACAAGCGAATCAAGTACATCTGGAAAACGGACCTCCAGCGCTTCGTGAAGCTTGAGTATGATACTTTACTTCTGTATGTATTTGGAAGACTGTGTTCATATCAGTTCTATTGTACACCCTTTTGGCATGAGTACGCGACCCATTAATTAGTATGACTGACCACGTATTTAGGTGAGACTATCACAGCTTGAATCTTTATGCAAAATATACATCCAAATGTTTTCATCAATCTCGCCGGAGAAAGTTCGTATGCCGTCAATTATTATTATTTTTTTCACCTTCTGCAATATTGTGACTTTTTACAGCAGCCCTGAGGGTCAATGAAGTTGTCTTTACAACATCTGTATCATGTGATTTTGATCCTAATTTTCATGCACAATAGCCATAATTATGTTGTAATGTAAAAACCAACATGATTGGGTAAATTTGAAAAAAACTAAACAGAAAGGGACACATATTGTAAAAGAATTTACATTGTAAAAGAATTAGTTTAACAAGTACACATGTAGGGTACTCTAACTTCAGTTATCTTCATGGCAATCTGCAATACTTAAGGTGAAAAGTATGAACTGCAATATAGAAAGCATGTGCAAGAAGAATGTGTAATTTTCTGGCAGTTGGTAAAATGTGCCATTCAGGTAATGTTGATGTCTCAAAAATACCATCCTGGCTCGGAGCACAGACGTCATTATCTCTCTATAAGTGGTGTTTATAGGCGAAATGAACTATGCAACCTATCTTGTAACACCTGAATTTAATTTTAAACCTTGATATGTCTTTATGGTTTAACTGTTCTAATATAGCATAATGTTGCTACCTAGATACGTAATGTCAGCACTTGAACAGGAAAATCTTTCTAGAAAATAAACAATTGCTATCAGCAGTGAACCGGTTTTTGTCACCTCTATAATATGTGTTGTAATGGTTGAGAACAAAGTGAGTGTTTTTGTAGACAATGTGAGTACTGTTGCACTAGTTGATACCGGTGCTGCCGTTTCCATAATGAGCATGTCTTTTAAAAATCGCCTTGGGACGAAAGTAATGTTTGCTTGGAATCGGCATGCTACGTTCCGCGGCGTAGGGGGAGAAACGTTGAGCCCGGTTGGAGTTTGTTCTGTTTTACTTTCTGTAGGAAATCAAACGTTTCGAGCTGAACTAACGGTGCTTGCACGAGCGACCCACGACGTCATTCTAGGTATAGATTTTTTGCGGGAATGTGGTGCAACTCTAGATTGTGGTAGTGGTGGGATTATTTTTTGTCCCGTGTTGCCGTCTCCATTGACGAAAGATACCATTGATGACTGCTTGGAAGTGTTTTTCGTGTCTGAAGACGTCTGCTTGGCCCCGCATACCGCAATGTTTGTGCGTGTAAACTCGTCGCGTTCTTGTGCGGGTTCTTACTATGGTTTAGCCGAGCCAAACTTAAGTAACGCACTTAAGAAAAACGTTATTGTGCCTCGTTGCCTCGTGCTCACTGTCGATGGTTGTGCCGATTTGTGGACTGTGAACGTTTCCGCGCAGCCCATACATCTGCCTGCAGGACTTAAATTGGCAAGCTTTCAAGAGCAAAGTACTCTTACCATATGGTCACTCCAACTGTCGGTGGATGTCAAGAAACCCCACGCCGACTCGTACCCCGTCTATTCTGCCAGCATTGACTGTATGATTAACAAGTCACTTCCATCAACTCAACGGTCGCTGCTGCAGGAGGTGATTGCACGCTACGCCTCAGTCTTTGACTTTGCCCAAGACGAGACGTCTACCGTTACGCCACCGTCTTCACGTACACAACACCGCATCTATACAGGCCAAGCACCACCAA